CACACACACACACACACGTAGTACTGTATAATTCCATGTTCTAGCGGAAGATTCATTCGAATTTGCCTTTTTTTTTTTTGATTGATTGATTGATCGATTGATTGATTGATTGATTGGTGGGGGCGGGGTCGCCACCCCCCACACTAGCGCGTGCGCAAACACACACACACACACACACGCACACACACACACACGCGCGACGCGCGGAAAACACACACACACACACACACATGCGCGCACGCACACGCACACACAAACACACACACACACACACACACAGTAATAAGGAAACAACAAAAGAATGAAAAAAAAAAAAAGAACTATATTTTTTTTTTCCATTCCTTGATTGTTTCCTTATTACACAACAAAAAAAAATAAAAAAAATATGTAAAAGTGAAGAATACAAAGAACTGCCAACCAAAAATCCCCCCCCCCAAAAAAAAAATAAATAAATAAATAAATTGATTTTTCAATTTCTCTTCTCAACCTTTTATGTTTTTGATTTATTATAATTCTTTAACATGATCTTTTTCCAAAAAAAAAAATATGGGGTTGCAGGGATTAACAATCCCTACAACCCCTTTTTTTTTTTTTGATTATTAAATAAATTAGGAAAAACACGGTAAATTCACGTCCGCGGCGCGGACGAGGCCAGCCACGGACGCGGCCATATATGTGGCCGCCCTCCGAGCTCTACCCCGCGGACGCTTCCGCGGGTGTTTCGTAGCAGTATAGTATGGTCCAAAGGGATCACCTCCCACTATACCTAGAACCTGCCATGGACCCATGTATCGCGGCAGCAACTGAGGTGAGATGTCCTCCTCCCGTGATAACTCGGAACGGAGCACCCAAACCCAGTCACATGTGCGAATAGTAGATCGGTGACGGTGCCTATTAGCCTGCTGAATCGTAGCCTCTTGGGCTTTGAGCAGGTTGGCACGAGCACGCTCAATATCCACACGATAACGCCCGGTGAGCTCTACGGTTCCAGGTGTCAGTGCAAGAGTAGCCTTGGCAATGATATCATCGAGAGGCTGTCGTGGCTCACGACCCCAATGCAATTGATAGGGTGCGAAACCAGTAGAGGGGAATGGACAGAGGCGTTACTGTGTTGCCGCACGTTCCTTGAACGCGGGTTCCGCGTTCAGTTTTTGAACACGTTGAACGCGCATTCAAAGAACGCGGGTGCACGCTCTGAACGCGAACGCGCAGAGCGCCACCCACGCCTGGGAGGCCCGTCGGGGGCGCTGGGGAGCGGCGGCGGTGCTTGGGGGGGCTGTGGGCAGTAAGGGG